TGTTCACATTTTTCTTCAGCAATCGCCTAGGGAAGGTGTGCATCCTGGAATGCCAATTTAATAGAACAACGTGTTCTTGCAATGAGTAAGTGCTTGAGTGGAGGCCCAATGTCCACTTGCTGCCTTAAACTAAACCTATAAATATATGCATGTAGATCTGTTTCCCCACACTCTTATATAAACATATTTACACATGTACATTCCAAGACTGTAACTCTTTTATGGGAGTAGAAAGCCTTATATTTTCTGGGGAGTGGCTGGTGGTTTTAAACTGCTGATCTTGTGGTTAGCAATTCAATATGCAAATGAGTATGGCACACCCAGAGACCTTTAAAAATATGTATCACTCATTCACTGCTGCTGAGTCCATGGTGACTTACAGCAAGCCTATAAATGGGCTAGAACTGCTCCTGCAACCCTCCCACGGAGGGGCTGGTGGTTTCAAACTGCCAACCTTGCAGTTAGCAGCACAACTCATAATCACTATGACACCAGGGCTCCTAAAAATATATATAAACATACATAAACAAAAATTAAAATTTGCTCCTGGAAAAAATTGTTCTTGATTAAAGCAGATACTTCCTCTTGGAATATTTTTAATGCTTTTCATATTGTCTTATGACTATTGATGAAAATAGTAGATACCTATCATATTAATAGGCACCCCAGTGGCACACATTACGTGTTATGCTGTTTGTTAACTGTAAGGTCAGCAGCTCAAAACCACCGGCTCCTCACGAGAGAGATGAGGCTTTTTAGCTGCACAAAGAAACCTCAGGGGCAGCGCCATCCGTTCTATGGGGTCACTCGGAACCAGAACTGACTAGGTGGCAGTGAGCAATCAAACACGATAGACCTAATACTTTAAATAATTTCTAAAAATCTGTAATGAATCCTTAAAACTGAGAAGTAGGTTTGCAAAAGAGTACATTGCAAACTATCATGTGTCAAAGCTAGGACCTTTTGACCCCAAATTTCTTTCTTCAAAACAAAATTGTAAATCAGGAATGACCAATCCAGAGTCCATGTTGTTGTTGCCTGATGCCACTGCGCTGGTCTGACCATAGCAACCCTATGCACAACAGAAGGACACACTGCTAGTCCCGTGCCATTTTCACCGTGGTTCCTATGCTGGAATTGATTGCTGCCGCCAGTGTCAAGCCAACGAGTTGCTAAAGAAGGTCAACCCATAAAATAACTGACTTATTCTTAAAGCACTTTGCTTTAGTCATCTTTGATTTGGGTTTTACAATGAATTATAATGGTTTTGGAAATTAACACATTCAAGAGTAATAAAAAACATTATTCAGATCAATTAAAAATATATATAAATTATAAAAGAACACCTGAATGGATTAAAACAGTTCATCATATATTTACTTGCTGCTAGCAGCCCAATTCATAAACCACTGCACCACTAGGGCTCCTAATTAGTTTGGTAGGTATCAAATATTCTCATCTTTATTCAAAAAATAACATGAAAGGTATTGAAAATAGTCAGATGGCAGAGGGGAAATACCTATCCTTCATCTGCTTTAATAAAGATTGTTACTAGGAGCAAAATCACAGAGAATTATACAAAATTTTTTTTAGTTTAGAACTAACCAAATGAAAGAAAAATATTACCATTTGTAAAAAATATTTGTAATTTCCAATACTCTTCTTCTGAGAGAAACTTTAAGTCCTTTTGGCGCTCCTTCAAAAGGTCTTGTTTATCCAAAATCCATTGCAAA